ACCATTCTTAGCTCATATGTCTTCATCATAGCCAGCATCCTCCGCATTCGCTCCACTACCGGCAGGTCCAAAGCCTTCAACACTTGCAGCTCCCACATCTCGGCTGTTGTTGTATTCTTTGGTTCTGCTGCATTCATGTACCTGCAGCCCTCATCAGTCAGCTCCATGGACCAAGGGAAAGTGTCCTCTGTGTTTTACACCATTATCGTCCCCATGCTGAACCCCCTGATCTACAGCCTGAGGAATAAGGATGTTAAAGTTGCCCTGTGTAAGATTTTTCAAAAAATAAATTTCTAGTGAAATAATTATTTTGTCTTTAAAATAGTTTATTTCTGTGTTTATGATAAGGAAATAATCCAAAGAATTCAGTACATGTCCACAAGTCTTGTGATTTCTGCTAGCGCTTAATCATTTGGACAAAAAGTACCCAAGATAAGGCTAGGTTGACGCAATCAAAGTCACATGGGCCGGTAGTTCTCTAGGGTGGCACAGAATCCACCAATCCAGAGTAAGCTGTGTCTCACTTTTATAAATTTCAAATGCCTCTATGTGTTTGATTATACTTTATATGTGTGGAATATGGCTCTTCTGTTTATAAAAATTATATAAATTCAAGAAATAAATATATTTGATTCACACTGTATTGTTTCAATAATTTATGGACCCACCCTTCTAAACTAAGTTTATTAGCAAGGATTTTTGAAAATGTGATCTCTAAAATAAATAATATTTACCATTTGGAATATACAAAATATAACCTCTGATATTTACAAAGTGTGTGGTACTGTGTTAGTGTAATATTGTAGCATAAGATGAGAAATAAAACATTTCCTACCAATAAGAAGACAGCAACATGTTGCAAGATACTGACAGTAATAAACAGATACATCTATGTTAGGAGCATTCATTTGCATGTATCTATGTAACATTCCTGTGATTATGCTATCACCCTAATTTCCTGACAATTGTATATTCATTTTCCCACATTACAAGGAGATATGACTTTTTACAAAATTCCCACTACATATAACATCTTTGATTTACTATTCAGTTCATTTGGGGTCCTCATTTATCCACATCGAAAACTTAAAGTTGACAAAATTTTTCATGACTAATGACATATACTTCTGCTAGTCAAAACTCATCTTCTACTTCAAAAATGATTTTTTTTCCTATGGGCTTAGACGCAGACTTTTGACAAACAAATTTCATGTTTTACAAATTGAGATCCTACATGTCCTCTTGGAAACTCCAGCTGGAAAACTTCAGGTAGTCCTCCTGGGAGACAGTTGTCTTCAAGAGGGAATCTCAGTAGTTCTCACAACTTAGTTTTGTGATGGCCTTTCGTGTGTCTCCCGAGCAACAGGCTGTGGACCACCACATATACCCATTTGATTTCAGGGCCACATGTAGATGGTAGTTCGTGGTTGTATGCTTTCTGATGCATCTAATTTGTAAACCTTCACAAAGAGTTGCATTGAGAAGGCATGGACATCCGCAAGTACCATCTTATTATTCCCTGCTTCTCCCTGCTGCAGTATGCCCCCAAGCATAACAAAGAGGTATTTATTCTTCTGTAACACAGTATGAGCAGTTCACCTGGGTCAGATGCTTTGGGAAATCACTTGTCTCATCAAAAAGGTATAAAACATGCTTGATTGTTCTTCAGATTGTCTTCAAGTATGTCACATGAACACCTTAAAGCAAGGTTGTCTTTAACTCACTTTGAAACATAAGAATTATTAGTGACAGATCAGAATCATCCCTTCTTGGAAAACAAGCAGAAATCTTTACTGTCTATATTGTAATTTCCTACCTTCACATCCCATTTTATTATCATACAAAATTGCATATAATTGTATATATGTCTTTATTGGCATATATTTATGTGATACGTATATGGGTGCATGCAAATCTGTAACATATGTATGAGTACTGAAATTGTATTGTTTAAATTTGTTTTGCAAAATTTGTGTGTATATATTCTTATGTTTCTTACTCTAGCTTCTAAAGAACATCTACAGAATTTATTCATGTTACTAGGAGTACATGTAAATTATTATTTATGAAAATACATATAAACTATTATTTATAAAAATTATTTATGAAAATTTTGTTATATTTCAAAAATATTTTAGCATTAAAACAAAAGTTATAAGAATCCAAAGGTCTGAATTGTTTCTAATCATTCTGAGACTGTGGGAAGATAAACTATGAGAATATTAATATAGATACTAGATTCCAAAACAGGTAGAGATCTACCACCAAAAGGAAAGTAGTTACAAAGACAAAAAACACTACAAATACACAAGAAAAATTACCTAAATTTATGGAATACACTCAATCAAAAGTTTTAATAACTGAGAAGAACATGATAGAATACCTACATTATAACTGTAAGCACTGTCTTTAATGAGTATTTTTCTCAAATACAGTTTGTCTTTCACTTAGCTGATATAAACATATACTAATATCAAGGAGAAAATAGTTCTTCCCTTATAATTAGCATTTCTAGGAACTATCAAGATGTCCCAAGAGACAAGTTTAGTTAGAAATAGCTATTTCCTTCTGTGGTAGTTATGATTAGGCTTATTTGTGCCTCACACTCACTACGTGTGCGTGTAGGTGTGCATGCATTTGCATGAACACCAACATATCATGTTGAACTACACCAGAAAATGAACATTTTGGGGTACTTCTATGGTTCATCATAGAAATATGTGTCTCTTAAACTGCCTTTTACAGAGTTTATGTTTACCATCAAATAATCACTCCAGATTTCCTCCATTTCACCATTAGCCTGAAATATATGGAAGGAGAAGGGAATGTCCTCAAACTTGTAGAATAGTGCTTGGTGGTGATACACCTCACTTCCACCCCCAACCCTTTGGTAAGACCTAGTCAAACAGACAAACCCAGATCCAAGAGGGACTGCAAAATGCTGGGATGAGTCAGACGGCACTGGGTCAATAAGATGTAAGAGCTTTATTTTAATTGAGGAAGAGAGAATGAGTATCAAAAAGAACTAACAATTTATTAAGCATTTTCTGATATTTATATACTTAAATATTTTTCAATTTCAATTTCAGTTACCAATTTCAATTTTTTTATATTTAAATAGATGATTCTTATGTTCATCTCTACAGTTTAACATTTGGTTTAGCATTTCATCTGAGGACTTTAATAGTGTTCAATGTGATTAAAATAAAAAGTGTAATGCAGGAGGAAATATGAAACATAGTATTAAATATTAAGATCTATCACAAAGGTGGATATCATGCAGGATGGGCAGATGTTGTAGTATCTTAATAATTCCCTGATCCTTCCTATAGCTTTGCCATCATCTTTGATGCTTTTTCATTCTTTTTTTATTTTATAGAGAGTAATAAAAAAAAGAACAATAACAACATACCACCATCACAGGCATAAACAAAACAAAGCAAGAACATTAAAAATGATACAGGGTTTCATAACAAAATGATAGGGATTAACAGTGGTTGTTATATTGCATAATGTTATCTTCAACTATTTTGCTCAGATTACCAGGTGTAAGAAGGGAAGATTGCTCAAACCACTAACGAGAATAAAAAAATAATTATTCAATGAAACATTAGAGACAGTACAGAGTTTCACTAGACAAGATGGTAGGAATTCACCAATGTTGCAGTATTGCATATTGTTGTCTTCAAATCACCTGCTCAGATTACTAGATATAAGCATGCAACTCCCCTTCTGGGTATTTTCCCAGAAGAATTAAAAACATCGTACTACAGTCATATATGTGCACCCATGTTTATAGCAGCACAATTTGTTATACCTAAATCTTGGAAACAACGCAAATGCCCATCCACTGAGGAATGGATAAAAAAGATGTGGTCTTTTTATACAATGGAGTATTACTCAGCTATAAAAAAATAAACTTGAGGCTTTTGTAGGTAAATGGATATAACTAGAGACCATACTCATGATTGAAATAATTTGGACCCACATGTGTAAACATCATATTGTCTCCCTGGTGTCAGAACCTGAAAGAATCAGTAAAACTCAAAGCATACTATAGATGATAAGAAAGGGAAAGGAATTGCCCAAAGAAAGGAACAACTGGAAGGAGGAAAAGAAGAAAAAGAAAGAAAGAAGGTAATAGATTAGATAGATAGATAGATAGATAGATAGATAGATGACAGATAGATGATAGATAGGATAACTGTACTGCTGATGTGTGATGGTATATTGAAAGGAACAGTTAATGCTTTCTCGTTCTGAAATAGTTTTTGGCTCAGTTCAATTTCATCTTTCTAAAAGTCACACCATTTTCAATAGCAAGTAGAAAAGTTTCATTTTAATGCATTTATCACCATTCCAGGTTCTAATAAGGCAAACCTCTGGTTTAACACAGTATATTTATGATGGGGCCTTCTTCGGTATTTCTTACTTTTGATGAATGCTTGAGGATACAACATTTCTAAAAGTCATCAAATTTTGGAGAATAATGATCATACCATGACTGTAGCATAGTTCTATGTATCATCATTCATAAGCAAAGGTTTTCGTGATATTTTGGATAACTCTGATAGCATGTTTTTACTCCTCAAAACTTCCAGGGAATAAGCAAAGCATTTTGAAAACAAAAACAAAAAAGTCTATTTAAACGTACATTAAACTGCAAATCTGCTAAAACTGGACAATGTTCAAAAGTAAGTTTATTTAAGAAAATTTATGTCAATTATTGCCTAAAATTATATAACATTTGATCAATGCTCAGTAAAAATATTCAATATAATTACACTCACAAGTAATCTAGCATGAAATTACTTTCTATAATACATTTTTTGACTCTATGTTGTTATCTGTAAACTTCTCCAAACAATTTTATTAAGTATATTTTTATTGATTCTTCTTCAACATCTCTCCTAGTTTTAGGAGGGAAAACAGTTCTTTTTAATTCTTAACCTTCTTAAGCACTTCTGAGGGGTTTTTAGTAGAATCTAAAATATTTTACCATGAAAAATGGATGAAAGTTATTTTTATTCAGTCTCTAAGGTAAGATATTCCAAAAAGGACTGCTTTGTGATTATGTCATATTATGTTAATAAGAATAGTACAGGTCAATAAAAATAAAAACTTCCAAATATTGTAGAAATGATCGCTTCTTTTGCTTTTCTATTTCCCCAACCACTTTGAAGATATCAATTTGTAATACAACAAGCATTGTTAATTTCCTACCACTTTGTTTGTAACTCTGTGTTGCCTGTACTGTTCTTTTGTTATTTTGTAAAAGGTTGTCT